AGGGGCTGCTGATCTGAGTGAGGGCCGAGCACACAAGAGATTATTTTCTCCTCTGATTTCTTTAGACCCCCAAGCTTCTCACCAAAGGCACTGTCCCTGGCTCTAGCTTCTTGGGCTGCAGCCACTGACTTTCCACCCTCAGTCAAAAGCACATCCTTGGCCGAGCAGGGTGGCACACGCATGTAATCCCAGCACTATGGGAGGCCGAGGCAGGTGGATCACTAAAGGCTAGGAGTTCCAGGCTAGCCTGGCCAACATGGTGAAATCCCATCTCTACTAAAAATACAAAAATCAGCCGGGCGTGGTGGTGCACGTCTGTAGTCCCAGCTGCTCAGCAGGCTGAGGCAGGAGAATCATTTGAACCTGGGAAGTAGAGGTTGCAGTGAGCCGAGATCATGCCACCGCACTCCAGCCTGGGTGACAGAGTAAGACTCTGCCTCAACAACAACAACAACAATAACAAAAGCACATTCTTCCTGTCAGCAGACCACATGTGACACCGAGGATTCCAGGGCCAGTGTCTTGCTGTCATATGCTCACAAGGACAGGGACATTCTCTGCACCACCTCACAGTCAACACAACCCCCATGGAGAGTAGCACTGTGGACACTACACACTAGAACTCAGAGCCAGTGAGGACCACGCAGAGATGAGGCCTAAACAACACAAGGGACAGAGGGTCAGTTCTTCACCGCTGCAGTGACCATGTGCCCATCACAGCTCTAGTGATTTCTGGATCTTACTTCATTAATTCAGCACCAACCCTGTTGACCATCTCCATTTTAAGAAGTGAGTGAAGGCTGGGCACGCGGTAGCTCACGCCTATAATCCCAGCACTTTGGGAGGCCGAGGTGGGCGGATTACGAGGTCAGGAGATCGAGACTATCCTGGCTAACATGATGAAACCCCGTCTCTACTAAATAATACAAAAAAATTAGCCGGGCGTGGTGGTGGGTGCCTGTAGTCCCAGCCGCCACTGGACTCCAGCCTGGTGACAGAGCGAGACTCCGTCTCAAAAAAACAAAAGTAGTGAGTGAAACAAGGCCCAGAAAGGTTAAATAAGTATCACAGGCTCTCACCACTAAATATGGCCAATTCCACTACCCAGGCTCTTTCGAATGTAACATGGCCAACCCTCCCTCTCTCCCCAGAGGAATGAGGGTCTTGCTGAAGGGGAACTTGGAACTCTCAAGAGAGTGGTATCTTTTGTGGCCCTCTCAGGTAAAGAAAAGCAACCAGGAACCAGGACCTGATGAGAGCCAGAAAAACAATTACTTCCCACCGTACCCCAGTTCTCATAGCACACAGCCGAAATAATTCACATCCGGAAAGATGATACATAGATCTGGTCAACATTGGGGAGGGGGTTTCCTCTTTAGGAAAGTTTGAGCAAAAACAAACACAACCTCAGTCTATTTCTGAGCGGTAGAAGCACAAGAAGACACACCTTAGTGGCGGTTATTTTTCGCACCCACTGGAAAAAGTCGGCTACGTTTAGCTCTGCCGCACTTTCCACAAGGTAAGCCTCTGAGCTGTCGAAGAGGCAGGGTCAGAGCAGATTCCGGCTGGGGTGATGAGATCAACTTCCAGATATCCCCACCCCAACCCCTCTCACTCACATCCCCCGTACCTGAACGAGCAACAGGGGAATGGGGGTGAAGCGGGGGAGGTAGAGAATCAGCAAAACAGCAGACCACAGGGTGTGCAGCAAAACCCTGTCATCAATGATAACAGAAAGCTGGATTTCTTGACTCCATTCACCTGACCCAGAAACTCGAGGGTAAAATGATGGGCATAGGGTTTATGACAGAGGCAAGGAAAAAAAACTCACTACTGATTCCCTCTGTTGTTTACTCCACTTCCAACAAGCAATCTCCAAAACCCTCTGTTCCACAGACATGATCCTCTTCAAGGCAGCAGAGTACCAGGGGGTAAGGACCTAAATTTGAATCCAGCCCTGCCTCTCACTATCTATGTGACCCTGGAAAAGAGACTTGACATCTGAGCCTTAGTATTGTTCCATGTAAAAGGAGGACATTACTGGTCAGGCACAGTGGCTCACACCTGTAATCCAGCACTTTGGGAGGCCGAAGCAGGCAGATCACCTGAGGTCAGCAGTTCGACACCAGCCTGACCAACATGGTGAAACCCCGTCTCTACTAAAAATACAAAATTAGCTGGGTGTGGTGGTGCATGCCTGTAATCCCAGTTACTCAGGAGGCTGAGGCAGAAGAATCGCTTTAACCCGGGAGGCAGAGGTTGCAGTGAGCCAAGGTCACGCCACTGCACTCCAGCCTAGGCAATGAGCGAAACTTCGTATCAAAAAAAAAAGAAGAAGAAGAAGGAGGAGGACATTACCTATCTCAAAGGGCTGTTGTAATGAAAATGCAACTCATGGAAAGTGCTTAGTACTGAACCAAACATGTCATAAGAGCTCAATGAATGGTTATTTCATAGAGAAGGAAACGGAAGCCGGAGGGAAGCCAATGCTAGCCTGAAGCGGCATTTAATTCAATGTGAGCAGAGATGGGATAAGAATGAGACTTCACAGGCTACAAGACCAAGACTCTCATACCCATCATTTCCCCTTGCATTTAAATCAATTCCCCCTAAATGCATGTGCAGGATCAGAGAATGAGAAAGGAGACAGAGCAAAGAGATTAACTTTCACCAGGAATAAGGTTTGGAACCTGCAGCTGCTCTTGTGGCTTAAGTAGCCTCCAGCCCCTCCCATTCTCCCAAGCTGCAGAAAGCCTGTCTTTGCAGGGACCACTGCATTGGAATCCGAGGACCTGAAACCTAGTAACATGGTCAGACCCAGGGCACAAGAAACCCTCATCCCACTCCTTTTCTCCTTCTCTCCATTTTATCAGTCACTCCAAGCAAAGGAGAACAGACCAAACAGCAGAAAAAACAAACAGGAGCCCAAAAGCAAAAAACAGAGGGAAGGGCCTATTAAGAAGCTGAGCCCATGAGTGTCCCCTGGTGCTTTTTGGAAAGATCCTAGGCCCCCCTCACTACACTCTAAAAAATCTGCTCCCCTATCCCCCAGAACCTTAGAAGAAGTGTTTTTGTTTTTTTGACAAATTGCCAAGACAGGGGTGTCAGGCCCCTAACCTGGGAGCAGCCAGGGTGTGAAGAAGGGGTATGAGGGCCTCAAGTCCCACATCAGGTGTGGGGCTGGAGCGGGGCCTACCTGTGCTGCTCCACAGCCTCGTTATCAGGAAGCTCGACCCCACACACGCTGCACTGCTCCCCGATGGTCCGGCTCTCTGACTTCATGCCCACAGCCAGCTCCCCCAGCTTGCTGAACAGCTCCCTCTGGATGAAGCCCTGGGGCAGCAGCCCCCCATAGGTGCTGAAGTCCATGGAGACAGCCAGGGCAGGCTGTACGTGGAGGCCAGAGGTCACCGAAGATGGCATGCTCAACACAGCGTCAGCCTTGTGGTTGGGCAACACGGAGTAGATGCCCAGATGCTTCTCAGGCGGGGGTGCTGGGTGCTCAGGTCGGCCAGTGGGGGCCTGGCCAGCCTCAGCTGGGGGTGGCAGCTGCTCGGCACTCTCCTCTCGCCCATAGTGCAGCTCCCTAGCACTGGTGATGACGCTGCTTCGAGTTGGGGTCCCAGGCCCCTCTTTGCCTCTTTCCTCAACTTTGTCCCCCATCCCTCCTGAGATGCTGGACTCAGCTGCCCCAGGGCTGTCCTGGCTGGGCACCTCATCCACCTGCATCATCTCCGTCTTCACCTCAGCCACCCCAGGGTGCCGCCCACCCCCAGCCAGAGTTGGCTCCTCGGGCCCTGCAGGTGGCTGAAGAGTTCCCTGCAGGAGAGACTGTCCTATGGTCATCAAACTGTCCACTGCAGCCTTGGTGGGACTCATGGCTGAAAGACCAAATGAGGTGGAGACTGAAGGGCTCTGGTCCACCATGGGCGCAGGGAGGCTCTGTCCAGCCACACTGGCATACCCACTCTCCTCGCTGGAATGCTTTGAGATGAAGATGTTCTTGAGGTACCGAGCCTTGCGGTCCTCTTCTTCCTCGGCCCCACCGTCGGCCATGGTGGCCTCCGTGTCATTGTCGTCTGAGGCCTGGATGGTCTCCAGGATCTTCAGGCACTGCTCCTCCAGGTACTCGATCTCCAAGATCTCGGCAGCATACAGCAGGTCATCCAGGTCCTCCGCCTTGGCTTGCAGCGTGGCTGTATATGCATACTCCAGAATCTGCTGGAAGGTCTTTGGCGAGAGGAAGTCCAGAGTATAGTGCTGACTGTTGCGGTGGAAGAGGATCTCAAACATCTTGCTGGTGCAGGCCAGCACCGTCCGGTGGGCGTGGAACTCCTGGCTGTCCACCATGATGACCACATCGCACAGAGTCCCGGCCAGCCGCATCTGGTTGGCCTTGCACAGCAGCCCCGTGGGGTGGCTAGGGTTCTGCAGCTGGATCATGCCCATTTTTGTCAGATCCATGGTGCTCCCCTCGGCTCAGGCATGAGGCTCTCTTTCCTTCTGGGCTCTGCGTGGCGGGGCAGGGTGGGCTTCCTGGGCCAATAGAGGGGGCTAGAGGAAAGAAGAGGGGAAGAAGCAAAAGAGATGAGAGAACAAAAGACAAATTCATCAGTGTCCCTAAAAGTAAGAATTCAACCACTACAACATGCCCCCTCCTCCCTGCTGCCAAATCTCTAGCAAGAGAATCTGAGAGATTTTAATTGAAGTAGCTTCCTAGAAATCTACAAATCTGCCTTTCAAGCCCAGGGATGCTGAGAGTGAAAAGAAGGTTCTGCCACAGCAGATGCCTAATTCACTACTCTATGACATCTGTTAGATGAAGTGAAATGAAAATTGTAGTGAAGTCCTGTAAGTCCTCAGCTTTCTCTGTATCTGAGAGTAGGGGCTCCCTAGGCAAGGCCAACATTCATTATGACGAAGTGCACTTACTTAAAATTAGCAAGACTTCAGCCCCTTCCTTGTCAGCTTCACGCCAACCCCCTGGATGTCAAACCTCATCTTTAAAACAAAGTTTTTCTAAACTCTGCCTCACTGCAGGAGCCCCAGAAGCAGAGTCAAACTCATTGGAGGCCAGGAGCCTGTAGTCATGGTCCACAGACATCTATAGACACTGGGCTCTCCTCCACAAAGGCTATCCTCTCACCATCAGCCTTGGCCTCTGGCCTTCTACTATTCTCAGGGCTGCAAAGCACTGGCAGCCCCAAGCCCTGTCCCTATCCCTAGGTACTAACAGGCACATACATACAACCCACACACAAACTTAGGTCATTTCTACCCATGGAAGCCTCAAAGTTATTATATGTATAATCTAAAATCTGAACTGTGTGTATGTACACCAGCCAGAGACAGAAAGAGTGTGTGGGGCAGGGCGTAGTGTCTCACGCCTCTAATCCCAGCACTTTGGGAGGTCCAGGCAGGCGGATCACCTGGGGTCGGGAGTTCGAGACCAGCCTGACCAACGTGGAGCAGCCCTGTCTCTACAAAACATACAAAATTAGCCAGGCGCGGTGGCACCCGCCTGTAATCCCAGCTACTAGCGAGGCTGAGGCAGGAGAATCACTTGAACCCGGGAGGCGGAGGTTGCGGTGAGCCGAGATTGTGCCATTGCGCTCCAGCCTGGGTAACAACAGCAAAACTCCGTCTCAGAAAAAAAAAAAAAAGCGTGTGTGTGTGTCTTTACATACATACACACACACACACACACACACACTTATATAAGGTGCTGTACCTACCGTCCTGCCCACAACTGCCCGGTTGACAGGAGGATCTAAAAAACGAAGAAGGATGGATCATTAAGGTATGGAGAGAGACCACAGTAAATATGCTCCCCTACAGCCAGGAGCGCTCATGCTGGGCTGGGTGTGTGAACTCCACGTGTGTCCCACAGGCTCCAAGGAGTCTGCAAGTCCTGTGACCAGGGGCAGCAAGGGATGCCGGACATGGCTCAGAGGCGCTTGAAGTGATATTGGCACCAGCATCTGTAGTGTGAGTTACAACCAGTACGAAGGGAAGACAGGGCTGGGAAACAAAGGCCTCTCCCAGAGCCTGTTTGGGATCAATAAGAGGGCTCCTAGACTCCAAACCCCGCTTAAGGAGTGTTAGAAAGACCGCGCAGGCCCAGGGCCCTCCCCGTGTCTGCCTTGCAGCGACCAGTATGCAGTGCATGCACTGAGAGCAAGGAACAGCAAGGTATCTCCCTCACTCTTCGAACACTGCTTGCTTGCCTCCACCCCCAAAAGAAGCTCTATCAGTTCAGGAGCCACCAAGCTCACGCAGAAAGGATTCACAGGACGGCTGGTCAAGACACTTTTGTTGCCTACCCCGGGGTGGGGACGGAGGCCGTCAAGGGTGGGATGAACATTCAGCAGAGCCTGGCCACCGCATGCTTTCCCGCAGACATCGGGGCTTCTGAGAACTAGGAGGGAACAGCCAAAAGAATGGAAGCTTGGCGCCCCAAAACAAGCCCTTTGGGTCCTGAGGGAAATCGGGGCGCCCACGGGCAGCCGTCTT